AAAAAAAAAGGACTGAGGTCATAGGCAGCCTGAAAAAAATTGTTATCAAAATGAGCAAACTGGGCTTTAAGACAGTCTCACGTATTAGCTAGATTAAACTGGTAACACCACGCATAACACAGCACCAGGGGACTCTAAGGGGCATTTTAAAGTCAAAAATACAAACTCGACTTGGTAACAAACTAGTGAGCAATGTGATGTGTGAAATGGGAGGGTGAATTAGAAATATAGAATCAAACATAGAAACTCTGCCTTGGACTGATTCTTCTTCACAATTGGGGAAACTAAGGTGCTTTTTCTGTTAAAATTACTTTAGTTTAGTAAACAAGCGCAGCACTGTAAGACACTGGATCCATTTCAGCTCTACTTTAAAGAGCTCTTTATATTTAAATAATAGAAAAAATATATTTGCTTGGAAATAAATATTGAAAAGGTTATTCCCAAAATATTGTAAGGTTCACACAACAAATACTCTGCTGCTACGTTGTCTATCCCTAGGGAGGAGCGTAAGTATCTCTATTTCAAGAGACGCTGCGCTGAAGTACAGCTGAAGTTACATATTTATGCTCAAGTGGAGCAGTGCCAAAGAACACGCCTCGCATTTAACAGGAGATTTACTATTGTTCGCAGCTCCAGGGGAATGCATTCCACATTCCTGGAGCAGCCGGCAGGAAAGCTGTGTGCTGTTTTGAGGAGTCACCCTTACAAGGTGACTGGTGCAACGAGTGCGATTTTCACCTCGCACCCTGGATGCTTTTACACACGCTGGTCGTGGAGACCTGGGCATTTGGATTTGACTGGTCAGACCAAGAGGTCACGCGAACTGAGAGGCACGGGGACAAACACAAGAGCAGAAGGAAAGCTGACAGAAGATCAGCCTCCACGACCCTTTTCCCCCACCCAAGCGCCAGAGCGCCACGCCCTTCCCACACAGCCCTCCCTCGCACCTCGCCCTCCGCTTCCCGAGGCTCACGGGGATTCCCACTGCCCACTGCTCACGCTCACAAATTCAAGCTCCCCGTCTGTCTTTACACTCCGCCTTCCCGCTCTCCTCACAGCGCCCCGCCCGCCTCACGGCGCCACGCCACAGCCGTTGGCGGTTTTCCCGCCTTCTCCCCACCCCACCAAGCGGCGCGCGGGCCCGCTGCGCGCGCAAAACCCCACCCCTCTCCCCGCCCCGCCCCCCCGGGGCAGAGTGGCTGCTGGCCCCGCCCCCTCCCTGCGTGCCCCGCCCCCTTCCCTCCTGGCCGCCGCCGTGTCTCTCCCCGCTCCCCTCACCGCACGGGCGGTGCGCGCGGTGGTGCCGGTTCGGTGCCTAAGATGGCGTCTATCATGGAGGGCCCGCTGAGCAAATGGACCAATGTGATGAAGGGCTGGCAGTACCGCTGGTTCGTGCTGGACTACAACGCCGGGCTCCTCTCCTACTACACGGTGAGGGGCAGCGGCGGGCCGGGCGGGCGGGGAGCCGGGAGCCCGGCTGAGGCGCAGGGTGGGGGCGGGGAGGGGACGCGGGGCGGTGTGAGCGCTCGGGCGGCCAATGGGGAAGGAGGAGGCGGCGGGCGCGGCCAATGGGGTGGCGCTGCGGGGAGATTTATCGGTGGGGGCGAGCGGCGCTGTTATTGTTGGCGGCCGGCGCGGGGGTGGGGGCGGCCCTGGGCGGGGCCGCTGTGCGGGTGCGGCCGTTGGCGCTGAGGGGCGTTCCGCCGCCGGCGGTGGTGGCTCCTTCAAAGCCGTGGGTCTGGGTGCTCTGGCACGGCTGCGGTACCGCCGTGTGCCCAGTTCGCTGCCTTAGCAGCAGGGCGCTTCCAGTTCGACGCTGACTTTGTTTCCGTCGAAGGCTTCCCGCTTTTGAACGCGAAGTGTGTGAAACAGCTGTGACACAATGCGTTTCTTGCCTCTTTTTCTGTGTTAACTGCTGACTGCTGGCTTGGTCAGCTTCTTACGTAAAAATGGCATCGTTACAACTACTTTCACAGCACGACTAAACGTAAAACTTCTGCTCCCTAAATCTGAATTTCCAGCTCTGCTAGGGCAAAGTTTAGCTTCCCAGCTCCACGAGTTGATAACTCAGCTTAAACCAGTTATAAAACCTAAAGCAGCCCTGATTCAAAACTTTACCTGCATCTGGGATATGATGGAGAAATAAAGGTGCCTTTATAGCTTTTTAATGGCTGTCCATATGTCGGCTGTTTGAGGTGAATCACTGAGTGAAGGTCCAAGGTGCAAAGTCTTCTTACGCTCAGCTGTAGAAGTAGAAGCAGTCACTGATGGCTGGTGAATGATAATTCTGCTTACTGCAGCGACTTTCTGTGGTCTTCACCAGTTTAATGAATGCCAGGTCTGAAATCTCATTACTTCCAATGGTTAGCTATCCCTACGTACACGTTACACTTCAATATAACTTAGCGTGTACTCTGTTATTTTACTGACTTTTAGTTCTCATAGTAACACGTTCCTTTTCTCTGCCCTAAAAGTTCTGCTTGGGATCAGAAGATCAAACCACGTTCCCTGCTTTGTGCCACTGAGTCCAGCAGTTAACCGTTCCTACAGAATGCTTTCTGTGTCGCTCTGCAGAGTACTCCCATTTAGAATGGTAGTTTCCAAGATTGTGTTGAATAAGCAATAATAATTAAGAATATTAGGAGTTTGAGAGCTTTATGTAGGAAATGGATGTTCAGAGATTTTTGCCTGTGTTTCTGTGTATGTGTGCTTGTATTTTGAAATAAAAAAGCTTACCTGTGAGATGAAGTACATGCAGCTGAGCACAGTTTGCTCTGAGCCAGTTTCAGCCTGAAGCAATACAGTCTGTGTGTGTAGGTGCAGCTGTGTGATTCTGAGCCTGAAACTGGCCTTTCCTGATGCACGGGTGGGGTATTGTGATTGTTTCCACCTGGCTGCATAGGTGTGCATCTGGAAATGACTTGGCTGATAGCTTACGGTTAACTCATCTACTTTTACCTTCTTGTCACCTCTTACAGACACCTTAGCCTGTTTCAGTCCAAAAAGTTGTGCACGCAGGAGCCTTCTCTAGCAGGTGCAAGAGGCATTTGGCAGGGCAGCTGTGAAAGCTGCAAGGCATTGATGTCTGGTGCAGCTGAACTTTTCACTAGTGAGAGGTACAAAAGAGTAGATCTGTTCCTAGGCGTGTCCTCGTATGGTTGTATTTCATCTTCTTGCGTAATAGTGTAGAATAGGCTGCAGAAGAGTCCCCTTCATGTAGAAAGAGCATTTAAGCAGAGCTACTGTACTGTAGTATTGCACCTACATTAGGATGCCTTTTCTTTTGCTAGCTTGAGTAGTTATTAACCTAAATATGTTTTGAATACATACATGAGGAACAAATGAGTTCAATTACATTCACATTCCTGATGTGATAAAAGATTTCGAGGAGTAAGGCAAAAGTTCTTACATCAAGTTTGCTCTTTTCTGCTTTCTTTTTCTGTAGTTTGCAGTTTGTTTTTATACATTTCTCAACAATTCTCGTCCTCAGTTTTGCTTATAATTGTATTTGTGTGAATTTATTTATGAGTAATATATTCCAGAGAATATGACCTGGACTTGCCATGCCATCCAAGTATTGATCATCTTTACATGGTTTTGCTCAGATAAATGATTTGTCTAGTAGCAGTAAATGGTTGTTGTTTTGTTGTTGCTGTTTTTGTTTTGTTTTCATTTTAAGGAGCAAAATATGAAATAAATGACTGTGTCCCATTTTGGGTCAGTTTGGTCAGTGGTTTGACAGATTGTTTTATTCCTTTAACATTCTTTGATTTGTGAATCCACTGTTTCTCTTAGAGGTGCAGCAAATGCAAGGCTACTGAAGCACTGCATTTTTTCAGAATGTAGCTGGAGGCACTGGCAATATTTAAAAGAAAAGCCTCCAAATAGATCATCTCTGTTGTCACAGGAGTTGTAAAGTTGTTCCTTAAGCTGGAATACAGCTGAGAAACAACTTTCTGCTGATTTGTTTTTTTCAGTTGAGTCATTCTGTAGTTTTCTTTCTGCATGTCAGTGTGAAAACGTGTTGGCTTTGTACTGGCAGGGAATGTGAAGACAAAGAAATCGCTATGGAGGAAAAGGGAGGTGAAAGCAATTTGCTTTTTGTTGTGTTTTCTGACAGCAGTGCTGTCTTAAATACGCAGCCCTAGCTGTGGTTGCCCTTGGGGATCCTGTAGCAATAATCCAGAGAGCCCCTTGAGGTTGAAAGTCTGATTTAAAATTCTTGTTTCATCTGTATTCTGTAAATAAATATTTTAATTGTATGGAAAGCTGCACTGACGTAGCTGTGTGAACAGTGCTAACAGCAAGGCTGGGATACAGGGGGGGCAGTTCCTTAAAGTACTTTAAAACTTCATAGCTATTTGAGGTATTGCTGGAACTGCTGCAGACTTTACAGCTGCCATGAGTAGAGACTGAGGGTTAAAGAAAAAAAACCCTGTGCGACAGCTCCATAGCGTACATTTTTGGAACCAAATTGGGTAGCTTCCAATCATTTTGTAGTTCTACCAATAAGTTCCTAAACAATAGATTTGAATGCTTAGATATTCTGTTGTTGTTGCTGTTAGTTGTTCCATCAAAATACTTTTTAAAACACATGCTTAAACCATTTCAGGAATAAAATCTGTATGAAAACAATTGGTAGGAGGAAGCAGTTGTGATGTTGCAACAGCATTTTTCGTCTTATGCTTTTAAAAGATTTCTGCTGCTTGGCAACTTAGTCATTGTGCTGCCTTGAAGAAGTGATTGTGGAGTGTACGATCCAGATGTTAAGGAGGAAAGTTCAGATTTTGCCACGGTTTTGTGAATCTTTCTTTGATGGTAAACTGAAAACAAATCTCATTAAATTGATTTCAAATGATGCCTCTGAAGCTGGAGCCATGGCTCAGTGCCCCAGTATTAAGAGACTTTCAGTTGAATATATTTTCCTGCTTTTTCCAAATACGGTTTCTCAGTCAACAGCTTTGTGCAAAAATCTGAGGAAAGTAGGAAAAAAAATCTGCTTTTGTACAGACATATTTTTAATGGAAAGTCTCTGCTTTCCATTCTGAGCTGATGTGACGAAGTTTCTGCAATAATTGGTCTGTCACATGCACTGCAAACAGCTCTGAATCTAAAAAACAGACAAAGTTGTAAGCAAAATACATGTAATAAGAAGATAGTTTTGAATTTACAGATAGGATACAAGTCTTAAGGTGGCTGTTACTCAACACTAGATTGAATTCTTTACCTAGTTTTAAATATGTATTTCAAATGACCTAAATTTTTACAGGATTATAATTTACAGAATGGACTCCTTATAACAAACAAAATACATACCAATTTGTCATTCTTATGCTGTGTTCCTATGCATCTGTTTTCCTACTTGTCTTACACTTGGATGTCTAGCATGTAAGAGCATATATATAAGAGCATATATAACTCTTTTCAAATACACAGTTACAGCTTTGCCTTGCATATCCTTTAAAGCACTCTTTTTATAAAGAGAAAATTATCCATAAGGAATTGATAGACACCGTATAGTTCTATAATGTGAGAATATTCCTAGGAGTTAATGTATATTTAAACTTGGAAATATTTTTTCATCATATGTAATAACTCTGCCTGTGTAAGTTTTGTCCCCTAGAGGACAGGGGTGTGGGAAAAGGAGAAGGAGGTATTTCCATCTGCTGGTCTTAGGTGTGTGGTAACACTTCTCTTCCTGGGGGTTTGAAGGTTGGGAGATACATCACCAGTTTGAGGGTGATAAATCAATCTGTTGCCATAATTCTGCCTGTAATGTAAGACCCCTTACAGTTGCACAGATTTTGGTATCATCAGAAATGTGGTCTTTCAGAAATCTGTTTTTTCTCTTTCTCAGATAGCTAGGGTTTCATGATTGGCTCTGGATTTTCCTCCTGGGGAGTATATTCATGCAAAGAATTGAGCAGGACTTATTTCCTGGAAACAAAGAGAGGTGATTTCTGTGTGACACCACATGACTTGCTTTCAGTAATGCTTCATTAATACTGTTCTCTTCAGTATTTAGACAATGTGTCTGGTTTCAGTTCTCCCAATACTTGATCATCACTTTGTGCTGCGTGTCTGTGATGTTTCTCATCTGCTATAAATATATTGTGCCTGCTCAGATTTGTTTAACAGCATCTGATGGGGGTAATTTTGTATTGGTGCTCAGAACTGCATGTCACCTGCCCTCCCAGAGTCAGCTGTGTTGTCTGCTCTGCTGATGTGATAAGCGGAGCTGGGTGCTCATGCAGGTTCTGAACCAAGATGGGATGGTTTGGTGAAGCAGTAGCATGCAAGTCACGTGCTAATTGTGGTTCTGGAAATTCTACTTACACAGAATACTAAAAGCAGTTCAATACTAAAGTTTTCCAGCTGATAGAAGGCAACTTTTCTTCTGGTGCTCATTGTCATCTTCAGCTGCCGACATGTTCCTTTCAAAAAGCAAATTGTAATATTTGCTTAATCTCTAGAAGTCAGTTGTCGCAGCCTTTATGTCAGTGCAAATTAATATATGCTTGTGTGCTGTCAGGTGAGAAATGTGTTGATTTAATGTAACTGAGACTCTAAACACTTAAGAAGTACAGTGCTTCTTAGAAGTTTTTGCTTCTACTCGCTCTTTAGAGGTGGCTGAGCTTTTGGTTCCTGCTTTACGACTGTATCCACAAAAGTCAAAGCATTAGCTCAGCAGCTGCCTGGTTTTAATTTCAGAGCATGCAGTGAGATGAGTTGAGATCTCAAGAAACTTTGGGGTGTCTTTGCCACTGTTCCTGTAAATTTTTCCTGAGCCAGAATGGTTAAAGTAGCACTCTGTAAGCACCGCCAACCCCAGCTGTTGCTGTTAGATGTCACTGCTGCCTCGGTGCTCGGGGAGGCCCTCCTTTGAGAGGGTCAGCTAGAGGAATGGTCTGGGGGCTGTGTGTTGGGGTTTTTGATTTGTCACATTTTATTTTGGCTTGAATAATGAATGTTGCCTTAGCATTTGACAAGAACAATAGCTGTTATACAAGCGGTCCTGTACACGTAGTTAAACTGCAAAAAAAAGTGTTTATAAATAGACCTTGTTTCACATTCCTCCTCCCTAAAGGGAAATAAGTGATGTTATTGCTCATCTGTGTACTTACCTTAGAGATTTCTTTGGCAGCACCGTGTCAAGAATGTACTTGTTCAAGAACCTGTGCCTGAGAGGTTTTGGAGGCAGACAGTAATGGGATTTCATATTGAAATCTTTATCTTTCGATGCAAGAGCTGAAACGCAAATGAAGTAGTTCTAAAGATGTAAAGGGGGATTGCAGGCCTTAGGGAGGGCTGGATTGGGATCTTAACTTTGTTTCATTTTGCTTGTTTTTAAGTAGATCCAGGCAATATTTTCATTTCTTGAAGAAGATGTAGCTTGCATGAAATGTTGTATGTTAGGTCAGTTCTTGATCAAACTTCACTGTGCGAATGTCAAAAAGAAACTGAAGAAGGACAGATTTTTCTTCTTGCAGATCAATACACTCTCCATGCAGTAACATCGTATATCTTTCTTTGTTTTTATGAATTTATATTTGAGCTTCAGCTGAGATTTATCCCTTGTTGCCTTCTGCTTGTAACCTATTCAAGTCTGTTATCAGAAAAATCAGTACACAGCATATGAAAGTTTAACTGGAAATGTCGATTTAACTAGTTTTAAAACTGATCACTGAAAAAAAGATAGCTGCATGTTAAAACTTATATATAATAAAAAAGGAAAATGTGATTTTTTTAACACCTATTCCTAGAGCCTATTCTGCTGTATGAGATTTTGTTCAGTGCAATGGAACCATTCTTCAGAACAGTTACAGGGTGCTTTATTTATTCAGGAATTCTTGATCAAGCATAGGGCATGTTGACAATCCATGCCTAATGTTCTCCCTTTCAACCAAAAGGTAAAACTTCCAGCTTTAAGGGGTAGCTGTCCAAGTTTTGTTTTTTGTAAAAACTTACTGGGAGTAGAGAGGGGAACAAATATAGAAAAATCAACTGATCTATGTTTTAAAGTCCTCTTCTGCAGCAATGAGTAAAAGATCTCCTGAGAGTGCGCAGCGCCATTAGTGAGGATAGCTGCATGCTTCAGTTTGGGTACTAGAGGGATAGGTGCTTCATTCCTTCAGAGTGAATTAGATTTGCTGCTTCATTGTAATCATGTGAGCCAATTAAAGCTGTGTCTGAAGATGGGGAAATGGTCAGTATATGGGTCCGCACTGAACCTGTGATTTATCTTGTGAATCTCTTTGCAGACTAAGAACATCACGTGCTGTAAAATTTAAGCTCAATTTCCACTCCATTAAAATATGATGTACAAGAAAAGTAAAGGCTTTTATGGCACCTTTTGTGGTTGAGTTTCTAATCAATCTGTGCAGAGAAGGTCAGGGTTGTTAGGATTCTGCCCTCTGTTGCACCAGGAATTGCTCATATCATCGTTGCTTTCAACTGCTTCCAGAACCTGAGCGGGACCAAAGCTGGTGGCACCAGCGTGGTGCCTGCCTGCACTCCGCACTGCCAGCTGCCGGATTGCTTCTCCTCTTTCCTTCCGCTCATTTGGAGGTGCACCTTCAGCCTAGGTATTATTTTCTTGCTGAGCTCATGCCAGTATTTCTTCTGGAATCCACTAGAGGGAGCAGTAAGCTCTCGGTAGTGTTCTCCCATTTCAGGAGTGCACTCCTGCAGTGAGCATAAAAAACCGTGCGTGTAAATGTACTCTACTGAATTGTGTCCCTAGTAACAAAAGCTTTCCTTCCTTTGAAGGTCTGACTACTTGTGGGGCAAAAGAAGGCGATAGCAGTGCCTTCTACTGGGATATAAGCACTACGGAGCAATAGAAGATGACAAAGAAACATTAGCTCACTCCTGTCATCAACCACTGGCAGCTCAAGAGGAGTGCAGTCTCAAGGGACACGCTGCTCCCTCGGCTGCCAACCCTTAAATGAGGGTGAGGGGGGTGAACTTAGCCTTCACCCCTTCCAGTCACTCAGATGCATTGTGTACACCCAAGCTCCCTGGGTTGGCCATGCCTTCTCACCTGGTGCTCAGCCATTGGTTCAGGCCATGATCATGCATCACTGTATTCTAAATTACCTTTAGTGAATAGGACTTGCTGTGACTGCTTCGTGATTTCCACGAAAGAAATAGCTGTAATATAGCTATAATGGAGCTATATCTCTCAAACGTGTGGCAGATGAAAAGTATTTTATTGCTATGAAGACTGATAGTTCTGGTTCCTGTCTTTTTTTCCCCACTAAGATCAATCTGATTTTGTTGTCTAGTGGCATCAGTGAAAATAGAGCTGGTCATAGTCACAGCCATATATTGTCCAGAAAGAAGCGTTGAGATACTGTTGGAAAGAAGAGAATATTTCAGAAGATGACAGCAAGAGAACTTGTTCATATGATTGCAGAGGTAGCAATGTTTCCATGACCTGAATGAATGCAGTTTGGCTCACCGGGTGGTAACAAAGAAGGGGCTGTATTGGGCCAGAATGCCCTTTGTAGCTAAGGCTGCAGTGGCATGCAATACATCAAATCAAAAACTGAAGGGGAAATAACTGAAAAACAGATGTTTTGTGTCTATAAGAAGGCAAAATATTTAGGACTCCTCATAATGTTTCCTTTTTCTTCCTTTATCTTAAAGGATTAGTGTGTGTGTTATTTGAGCTTGCCAACGTTGCCCTGTAACATTTAAAATACTGGTGGAAAGCTGCTGACAAACTCTATCAGTGGTTGGAATAGCTGGAAGTTTAGAACAGTTTCAAGCTAGAAGTGGGTTGGATATCTGTAAGTAGATGGTCCTTGCCTCAAACAGAGACACTAAGGAAGAGGTTCAGTAATTTACATGTTTAGGCCCTGATTGTAGATGTAGGAATCCTGTTTTCTTATCTGGAATCTGATCACTTAAATGGTTCTAAACACAACTTTTCTAACTCTTGGAATAAAAACAGGATGTAATATCTAGGAAACAGTCAGAAACTTGTCTGAATATGACATTTATGCCTGTATATAAAAGATGATAAATACAGAAAACTTTCTGATGGAAACATAATTTGATTTGTACAAGGGCAGGAAAATACAGTACTCTGCCAATTTCAATATTCCCTAATAAATGACTTTCTTCCCATCTTCCTACTTTCTGTAAAGTAAAGTGGTCTGCATCTTCTAACTATTTCTTCAAGATATCTACAGAACTTTTTTGAAGCGTGATATTCTTGCTTTTTGAAGCAGAAATTCTTCATGCTGTGGTGCTGCACTCTCTTTTGTGTCAGAACTAATCTATTTTGGAAAAGAGATTGTTCAATCAGTTAATAAAACACTATATCAAACTATCTTTTTTTTCTGTTCTTGATTGTCTTGAACAACTTTCTCCTTGCAGTTCTTACTAAATTTGTTAATCCACTGTTCTGTTTTCTCTTTCTTTCAGTCAAAAGACAAAATGATGAGAGGATCACGCCGAGGATGTGTTAGACTGAGAGTGAGTATTATTTTCTTTGGTACTTAATGTCTCACTGTGGATAATATGATCTAGGGGAGAGAACTGCAAGGAGACTTGAGGTTTTGCTCTGTTGCTGACTCTGCAAAACACTGAAGTAGTGAAAGTATTTAAAGAAAGAAAACAGTAGAGGTCAAGTGACATGCTAGGCTAATTGCATTCTGTTATTGGACTTGATGATCCTTATGGCTCCCTTCCAACTTGGGTTATTCTATGATATTGTATAAAAGCATTATGTGCTTAATACATTGTCTAAAAAGCATCATAGGATGAAGTACTATGGGTTAACAATAAAATGCTGCAATAAAGTTGCTTTTTGCAGTTCTCAATTCATGTGAATATAAATATATGTAGATATAAGTTCTATACCTACAGAAGTTATTGCAAAACTGCTTTCTTTCTGTTCTTCTGATTATGCTTTATTCTGGGTAGTTGTGTAGTAATGCCACACAGCCAGTTGTCTGTACAGAAGGAAGACAAAGCACTGGAGTTCATGAGAGGGAAGAACAGAAATTTTAAAAATGTCTGCTGAGAGAGGATAAAAACTTGCGAAACAGAGGTAGGAAGTAGGAAAGCTGAGTGTTCCCTGTTCTGGCTTGGGACATTCTGTGGCTTGAAGTGACACTACTGAAGTGAGCTGGGAATGCTGTAATGGCTTTACGTGTGCTCAGTTTCTGCTTTCTGAAACTTCTCTTTTGCTATGTTTTTTCCCTATTTCTCAGAGAATCTCTGGCTCCAGTATGCTTTGTTAGGAGCTGATCTAAACAGGATGGATAGGTCAGAAGGGTAATGGACATGAATGGGAGCATTTTGAGTCTTGAAGAAAATATAGAGAAGGTGATCTGTGGCCTGACACAGAATCTGATGAGTGTTGCAGTAGAGCTCTGCCTTTTTAAATTGCAGTTATTCATTCCTTCTGTTGTAAATGCTTTGTGATCTTCCTATGGGCCTATTAAAGGGGTCCCAACAACCTTAGTTAGGCTCATACAGAGAATCCCTGTTCATCTGCATTTCAGATGATTTTATTGCACTTTTCTCTTTTTAGTGTATTGGTATCATGATTATTACTTCTTAAGGGTAATACAAACTCAAACCACTTTTTGCAGCATTACATTTCTAAAGCTTTGTAAGATTGTTTTTTGCATTGTGTAGAAAAATTTAGTCTGAAAAACTATATCTGCTTTAATAGTGTTGTGAGCCTGTCAATGTGGAGGTTGGCATCAGCCTGTCAGTTTAGGAAGTATTAAAAGTGAACAATCTGTTCAGCATTGCATTATTCATTTTTACTTGCATTTAAGATAAAAGAATCCTTCTCTCTTTCCCCATCTGCCATGTTCCCACCCCAGATTACTCTTAAGAATTTTGCAAAGATTTGCTGACTCCTTTCTTGGGTTTATTTTGTCAGGGAGGAAGGGGTCTTTCTGCTTTTGTAACACAGCTCTTCTGGCAGATGACAATACCAGGACCTGAACAGATGGGCTTCTGCAATGTGAAATTCTATCAAAGAGGTTTTCTGTTTAATTGTTGATTTGTAACTGTAGGTGTGAACATAAACAAACATGTGATTTCTAAAGTACTTCCTTTTTTTTCTGGAATGATTTTTAAAAGCTTCTTCCTTGCCTTTTTTTTGTTGTTGTTGTTTAATACCCATACTTTGTAGGCTCTGAATTTTCACCTTCAAATTCTGTCTTTTTTTTATTGTCATGGATTATTTAGGAAGGT